GCATCATTGCGTGTGTTTTGTGAGATGGAAGAGGACTTTGTGGATTGGTGTCAGGCATATGCGTTAATGGGTTAATGTTGGACCTGTGGGCTTGGGCAGCACTGGGTTAGGATGTTTTCTTGATGTGCACTTACCCTTTATAGAAAACTCTCTTATGTATGAGTTTGTGTGGATTTGTTTCTCTAAAGTACCCAGACTAACGCAGGGACTGAGTACTTCCCCAGGGTCACTGAGGGAAGTGAAGGCCGAGAAGAAGGGCAATGGGGCAGGTTCAGACCCAGGGGATGGTTTCGGGCTCCCTGCAAAGGGTGCTGCGGATCCCCGGGCAGGGCAAACCACTCCGAAAGAAATGGAAGTTTGGGGGTGTGCATTCGGTTTCTGCCAGAGGTCCCGAAAGCCGAGGGCGCGGATTTCTTACAGAAATCCAGATATCCCTGGGGACCTCAGAAGAGGGCCAAGCTCCCCGTGGGCCTGGGCCGGGAGTTGGTGGGGCAGGCTGAATGAAATGCTCCGGACTCCGGACTCCTGGAGGTCGGCCAGACGGGGTCCCCGGGGTCGGAGGACACTCTGGGCCCCCAGGCCGCACCTGAACAGCATGGGCGGGGCCGAGGATCGCGGCCGCAGGAAGCAGATCTGGGGCTGGGACTCCGTGCAGATCTCTGGGCGGTTGTCCGACTCGCGCCGGAGGTAGCCCGCAGACGGGCCGCTGAAGGAACCGGAGGCCGACTGGGTGGAGGTCCGGTGAACCGAAGGCGAGTTCAGGTTCCAGGTGACCGAGGGCCGGAACGACTGCTTCTGAGCGTCGCTCTCATTCTGTTGTACCTCTGGGATGGGAGACAGAGGGCGTTTACCGGGGAGAGACATGCCCGGTGGTGGCAGGCACACGCAGAAAGCGGCCCGGGGGCAGTAAGCTTACACAGTGCGACGCACGTTACCATGGAAACGCGCAGGGGGGGGCGGGATTCGAGCTCTGGTTCTGGAATGGCGCGTGCGCGGCCTGGCTGGTCCCTCGGCGGCCGCCGTAGCGCAGC